AATGATGTCATTAGGTCAGATTGAGTTAGACCTATCGGACTGCACAATCTAGAGTTTCATGCCAGAACTCTGTATATATTCACCGATGCATCTTGTGATTTCTTGCGCCCCCGCACTGTCTTGGGGGAGTAAGACTGTAGTCCTTTATAGTCTTTTGGCCCGGCTGGATTTTGTTCCTCGTATCTTTACGATACTTTTCGGGGTAATGATTTAACTTGGCTCTTCATGTTTGTCGTATTCGCCAACGTGTATTTCACCGCAGCCTGGCAGGGTTTGCATAACGTTTTTTGTCTGTCCGTCACCAGCCTTCTCGTTTCTTTTCACGAGGAAACCGAAATGCCTCTACACTTCAGATTTAAAATTTGCTTTTGCATCCACAATTTCCCAATCTCTCTCTTCTCCTTCGCCAATAGCAGCGTCCGCCAGTTTCTCTCTACTGGATCTGTAACGTTAGAGGCAGCAGAGCGATGGGTATGATGGGAATTGTAGTTCCCACTTCCCTCCGCGCTGCTCCACTGGGCTGAAAAAACTACACTTTTTGCCTGGAAGACTTATCGTTTCATATCGTCATGTGACCATGATAATATCAAGACAATTTTGATATCGTGATACCACGAAATTGATAATATCGTTACATCCCTAATATCTATAGATTTTATTTTAGGCAAGTCGTGATGATTTGAGAAGGCAAAATCAATCAAACAGACTATGATCAACTCACTGTCTGCCGCTGCCCTCTTGGTCGTTACTTTAAAAAACAAAAACTTATATTTAACGAACAAAAAAATGCTCCAAACGTTTCTCTAAATTAACTTAATAAAAAAATGAAAGGAAATATCACTTTGCCATTACATACAAAACTGAACTACTTTCATAGCTGAAACAGTAGTATAAGCTGTTTTGGGAGATGGGCTCGGGTCGGTAATTCTGATAAGCTGTCAGACAAGGGCCGGGCTAGGGCCTATATTTGAGGCCCGTGCAGGGCTCTACTGTGGGGTATTTTGAGCTCAAACCTCATGTACACACTCTGGGGACATCAGAGACTATTTTTACATCTTGTAAAAAGGGGCATAATAGGTTACCTTTAAGGTTATCTCTGCTGCAGAAGTGAAAGTGTTATTGGACCCTTGGGCACTAGTAATTTGGTAAATTTGTTACTTCACCTTGTCCACGTCTCCGAGTCCCTCGGTGTCCAGCAGCACCAGAGTGGTTTCTGCTTTAGTGGGGTGAGGCACGCACCACATCCAGATGCCCTTCGTCTTGGACTCGATTGTGCTGCCCAGTGCAAACCCTGATAACCACACACCAGAAACCCCACAATGACTTGCATGCATTCATTTGAAGGGCACGAGCGTTTGGATGGCATCAGTGCTGCTGACCTGTTTGTTTCCCTGCCAGTCGATTCATCAGATAGGACTTCCCGGTGCGGTAGAGACCCACCACAGCCACCACCACCACGGGCTGCTGGATCTGCTCCAGAACCTGCAACGCTGACCCCTGCACACACAGCTTCCCATCGGACGCCGTGTCAATCAAGCACACTGGTTTGTCCATGACCACTGGAGACCCAAACACATTTCTCTTCCTTTAATCAACCGCACTGAGAAATACTCCAATACTCCTGCATTAGACAGTACAGTAACTCCTCACACGAGCAGCCTTTCCTCTTTCTGTTTGTGTAAAATATTGCTTTAACAACACACTTTCACAACAAACTACACAAGCAGGCTGAATAAGATAAATGCTGTTAGATTTGTTTGTGCCCAGCTACAGTCTATAACCAGACTGGGTTTAGTCCGTTGAAGATCTAACAAAACATGTCCAGAACATCTGTCAAGACAAGTCAGGCTGTAGAGTTCACTAAAAAACACACACACTCATAGAGTGCTAAAATTAAATCACCAACATGAAATCTCAACGCCACACGGTCACACTGCAGGAGCAAAAACAACCATGAAGAATCTGCTGCTGTGCTGATGCTGAGTGTGAAACACTGGACATTGTATTGTGTGCAGTTATAAGAGCAGCACAAGTGTTATAATGATCTGAATGAAGGAGCGTCTCTTACCGGTTTGCTTTAGTTCACTCCAGTCTAACTTCAGTCTGAGTTGTGTTCATGTTGCAGCTTCCTGATATTCTACCCATGTTTCTTAGACACACCTTCAGCTCCAGACTCTGGATGCTGATTGGTCTAGAGTGAGTTAGGGGATGTTCCTGGTCTCGTGACATTTTCAGTTTCACTCTTAGTTTCACTTTCAAAATCAGCAACTTCAAACAGGAAAACACGTGATAGCAGATACAAGAAGCTTGGATTGTTTCCAGAATGTGCAGCCACATAAAAAGACAAGATGCTTTTATTTTTGTGGTACTATATGACACAGATTGGAATGACATCTTGTATATCTGAGCTATGAACAACAAAAGCTGACCAAGAAATAAGAAGAGCACAGAAGATTGTCATTTTTAACCTGTAATAAACCTTGTTTCTGATGAAACTGAATGGAAATTCCCAAGAGCTTTCCCCTCCAGTGTATCAG